TATTATTGGTATATAGAAATGCAGCTGATTTCTGTGCATTGATTTTTTTATTCTGTGACTTTGCTGAATTCATGGATCAGTTCTAGCAGTTTTTGAGTGGAATCTTTTGTGTTTTCCATATTGAGTATCATGTTGTCTGCAAAGACTGAAAGTTTGACTTTTTCTTTGCTGATCTGAATGCCTTTTGTTTCTCTGTGTTGTCTGATTGCTGACACTAGGACTTCTGATACTATGTTGAATAATAGTGGCAAAAGTGGACATCCCTGTAATGTTCCTGACCTTTGGGGAAAGCTCTCAGTTTTTTGCCACTGAGGATGATATTGGCAGTGGGTCTTTCATGTATGGTTTTTATGATCTTGAGGTATGATCCTTCTATCCATACTTTCTTGATGGTTTTTATCAAGAAAGATGTTGTGTTTTGTAGAATGCTTTTTCTACATCTATTGAGAGGATCATGTGGTTCTTGTCCTTTCTTTTATTAATGCAATGTATCACATTGGTTGATTTGTGGATATTGAGCCAGCCCTGCATCCCAGGTATAAATCCCACTTGATTGTGGTGAATAATTATTTTAGTATATTGTTGAATCTAGTTGGCTAATGTGTTGTTGAGAATTTTTGTATCCATGTTCATCAGGAAAATTGGTCTGTATGTCTCCTTTTTAACAAGGTCTTTGGTTTTGGAATCAAGGTAATGCTGGCCTCATAGAATGACTTTGGAAGTTTTCCTTTCATTTCTTTCTTTCTTTTTTTCTTTCTTTCTTTCTTTCTTTCTTTCTTTCTTTCTTTCTTTCTTTCTTTCTTGGAACAGCTTCAAAAAAATAGGTGTTAACCCTTCTTTAAATGTTCAGTAGAATTCCCCTGTAGAGCCATCTAGCCCTGAACTCTTGTTTTTTGGGAGATTTTTGATCACTGATTCAATTACTTTACTGGTTATGGGTCTGTTCAAATTTTCTATTTCTTCCTGTTTCAGTTTTGGTAGTTTATCATTTTCTAGGAATTTGTACATTTCTTCCAGATTGCCCAATTTACTGGCATATAGTTGCTCATAGTAGTCTCTTATTATTGTATGTATTTCTGCAGTGTTGGTTGTGATATTTCCTCCTTCATTCTTGATTTTATTTATTCGGGTCTTTCCTTTTCCTTTTGATGAAATTGCCTTTGCCTCTGCTGTGTGTTATCATTTTCATTGGCTTCCCTGTACTTTTTAATTTCCTCTTTAACTTCTTGGTTAGCCCATTCATTCTTTAAGAGATATTATCTTATCTCTAAGTATTTGTTGTCTTTCCAAACTTTTTCTTGTGGCTGATTTGTAGTTTCATAGTGTTGTGGTCTGAAAATATGTACGTTATTATACTAATCTTTTTTTCTTTTTTTTTTTTAACCTTGTTGAAGGCTGCTTTGTGTCCCAGTATGTGATATATTCTGGGTAATGTTTCATGTGCATTGAAACACATTCTTCTTGAGAAGAATGTATATTCTGCTGCTTTAGGATGAAATGTTCTAAATACATCTTTTAAGTCCATCCAGTCCAGTGTGTCATTCAAAGACATTGTTTCCTTGTTGATTTTCTGCTTAGATGATCTGTCCATTGCTGTAAGTGGGGTATTAAAATCCCTTACTATTATGGTATTATCGTCATTGAGTTCCTTTAGGGCTGTGATTAATTTATTTATACATTTAGGACCTCCACGTCAAGGGCATGTTAAAATAAATGTTTATAATTGTTAGATATTCTTGGTGGATAGACCCCTTAATTATGATATAATGTCCTTCTTAATCTCTTGGTACAGTCTTTATTTTAAAATCTTTATTTAAAATCTTTAAATCTTTAAAGTCTTTATTTTAAAATCTAGATTGTCTGATATAAGTTTGGCTTTCCTTTGATAGATAGTTCCCCATCTTCTTACTTTCAACTTCAAGTTGTCTTTAGATCTAAAATGGGTCTCTTGTAAACAACATAGAGATGGATTCTGTTTTCTTATCTATTCTGTTATGTCTTTTGATTGGAACATTTAGTCCATTGACATTTAGAAAGAGTACTGAAATATATGAATTTATTGCCATTGTGTTATCTATAGAATTGGAGTTTCTGGTGATGTTCCCTGGTCCTTTCTAGTCTTTGTTACTTTTGGGCTTTTTTGTTTGGTTTCATCTTTTCTCCCCTCCAAAAGTCCCCTTTAAAATTTCTTGCAGGGCTGGTTTAGTGGTCACAAACTCCTCTAGTGTTTGTTTGTCTGGGAAACTCTTTATTCCTCCTTCTATTTTGAATGACAGACTTGCTGGAAAAAGAATTCTTGGCTGCATATTTTTCCAAATCAGCACATTGAATACATCCTGCCACTCCATTCTGGCCTGCCAAGTTTATGTGTATATGTCTGCTGTAAACCTGATCTGTCTTCTCTGATAGGCTAAGGACTTTTTTCTCCCTTGTTTTCATGAGTCTTTCCTTGTCCATGTATTTTGTAAATTTGACTGGGATATGCTTTGTTGATGGTCAGTTTTTCTTGAATCTAATGGAGGTTCTCTGTGCTTCTTGGATTTTGATGGTTACGTCTTTCTTCAGGTTAGGAAAGTTTTTTGCTATGATTTGCTCACATAAACCTTCTAGCCCTTCTCTCTCTTTTCATCTTATGGGACTCTATGATTCAGATGTTATTCCTTTCTAATGAGTCAGTGAGTCCTCTAATTCTTATATTGTGCTCTTTTGCTTTTCCCCTCTCTTTTTCCTCCTTCAGTATTCTCCATAATTCTGTCTTCTATATTGCTGATTGGCCTATGTGCCTCATTCATCATTGATAGCATCCATTTGAGATTGCATTTCAGTTATAGCATTATTAATTTCATCATAACTAGATTTTACTTTTTTTATCTCTGCAGAAAGGGGTTCTATGCTTTTTTCCAAACCCAGCTAGTAGTCTTATTATCGTGATTCTAAATTCTGGTTCAGACATCTTGTTTATATCTGTGTTAAGTCCCTGGCTGTCATTTCTTCCAGGTCTTTCCCTTGGGGTGAATTCCTTCTTTTTATCATTTTGGAGAAAGAGAAATAATTAATAAAATAAAAGATTAAAATTAAAAAAAATTAAAAACAGCACAAAAAATCAAATAAAGGAAGCTAGATCCTAGGTGTGTTTTGGTCCGGTTGTTGACAGAAGCTCTATAAAATAGAGGAAAAAGGGAAAGAAAAAAAGAAAAAATATAAAAACAGAATATAAAATATTTTTTTTCTTTTTGTATCAAATAATAAGAAGAGAAAAAGAGAAGAAAAATGAAAGATGGACCAGCAGACAGATTAAAATCTGAATAAAATCACATCCACTTTCCCCTAGAGGTCAAACTATGAAGTACTTTATAGTCTGTAACTAAGGAGGTGGAGAGACTTGTGATCATCCTCTAAGGCTTGGTTGGCTCAGTTGGATAGTGCTTGGTGTTATGGCTGCTTTCTCCACTAGGTGGCGATGCTTAGCTTATTGGGGTGGATCATGTGCGGGTGTAAGCACAGGTGCAGTTGATGAAAATGACATCACCCAACTTCCCAGTCTCTAGCATGAGAACTCTGTGCCCTCACCAACTGGTCATCAGGCACTCCTACTTTGTTGCTGGCTTCTGTCCACTTCTCCCTTCTACACTGTCCATGACCAAGCTGTCAGCCTGCCAGGTGGCACCTCTCTCTCAAATTTTATCTCAGATGGTGCTGTGTTTCCAAACCCCTCACTTCTGATAGCCCCGTGGCTTGGGCCTGCTCCAATTCTCTGGGGGAAGGTCTCACTGAACAATGGTCAGGTGCCAGCTTGCCCCCAGGAACACTTGTGTGACTGTGCTGCTGCAGAGGCCCAGCGACCACATGTGGGTGCCAGCTTGCCCCAGCAAAAGTCCCCGTGATCGTGCAGCAGCAATGGTTCAGGGGACTATGGCATCACACACACAACTGGTGCCAGGCCTCACTGCACCCCAGTGTCCTTGTGGCGACACCAGCAAACATTGCTGTTCTGCAGGGTCCAGTGGGACCTTTACCTGTGGGGTGACTGCACAGCTTCTCCGAAATGCCCTCCCAGGAGGGGAACCACCTCTCCCTGTGTGATCCAAGGACCGCCTCAGCCCTTGCTCTCTGCTCCTGGGGATTCACCCTTCTCACCAGAGCTCCACCAGGTATTGAGCTGCAGAATTTCTGACTCTGCACTCCCCAGTTTATAGAGTTCTAATTTTATTGAAACCCTCTCCTTTCTTCTTTCTCTCTTTCTCATTCAGACCCTTGTAGGTGCTTGCACTCTTTCGTCCTCTCCAGCTGCTCTCAGGAGTACTTTTCCTGCACTCTCGCTCCCGTCTTTCTCTTCTCTCCACAAACAAAAACAGCTCCCTACCCTCCGCGGCTTCTCTCTACCCTAGTTCACGTCTCCCTACCGTGTACCTGCTGAGTTCTGTGGCTCAAGTTATGCAGTTAGTTCCATTAATTCTCAGATCAATTTTCTAGGTGTGTGAAATGGTTTGTTGCTGATATAGTTGCATTTCAGGGATGAGAGAAGCAGAGAATGTCCATGCCGCTCTGCCATCTTGGCCCCTCTCTTTTTTCCTGGTTTTAAAGTAAAAATTGCCAAATATTTGGGTGTGGTTCTCAAAGGATGAGAGGGAAGCTATTAAGGTTTCAAATAGTAGCCAATTCCACCCTAGTAGTCTTCTGGTTGGGAGCCTCTCTGGAAGATGTTTGCAGTGGGAACAGATGGAGATCAAATAAAAAGCTGATATCCTGACCCTTGACCAATTTTAACAAGAAGTTGAATCATTCTCCCAGAGGAAGGAGTTCCTATAATGTGTGTGTTGGTATCTGGAGAAAGAAAACTAAATCACAGCATTCAAATAGCAGCATCTGATGGTTTTGCTCTAAAAGAGAATGAGAACACACCAGGAGTTGTGCAAGACAAACTATGTAGATATATGGAGAAAATGTTACATTTTCTACTTATCTTTATTTTTTAATGCTTATTTATTTTTGAAAGACAGAAAAATAGGGAACACTTCACAAATGACAATTTGTGTGTTATTCTTGCATAGGGGTCATGCTAATCTCTGTATTGTTCTAATTTTAGTATATGTGCTGCTGAAGCGAGCACTCTACTTATCTTTAATTTTTATTTTAAAAATGATAATCCCTTTAAGGTGTTTAAGTTGTTCATGCATAAATTGACATGGCAATTGGGGCACCCATATGGTCCAGTCAGTTAAGCATCCGACTTCGGCTCAGGTCATGATCTCATGGTTTGTGGGTTCGAGCCCCACATCGGGCTCTGTGCTGACTGCCAGCTCAGAGCCTGGAGCCTGCTTCAGATTCTGTGTCTCCCTCTCTCTCTGACCTTCCCCTGCTCATGCTGTCTCTCTCTGTCAGAAATTAATAAAACATTAAAAAAATGGATACCTTTAAATAATAAAATAAATTGACAAGGTAAGCTTTCTTGAGTCTTATTTCATGTCTGTTGCATTTCTAGCGGAAGATTTGTGAGAAGAGCAGGATTTCCACAATGAAGGAGCTATCCTTGTGGGTTTGGTGTACTGCTCAACAGTTCATGTGTATTTCCACAATTAAATGGATTTGCTACTTAATCATCAACCAGTTTTAACTAAACTAACCCATACAAAATGGACAAGAGAGCTAAACAAGATGTCTTCAAAATATGGATTGATGATAGTCACAATCATTTAAGTACAGAAGGGCAAGAAGGTTACAGCAGAGTTGGTTAGTTTATTGCTGAAAGCACTCTTCATCTGCCTCATTCTGAGACAACACATTTGTGACATAACCACATGTAACAAGATGTTCAAAATAATTCAAAGTTATCAATTCAAGGGATTTGCAACTGAAAAGTAGATTGAAAAGTAGATTTATACCCACAGGTATTAATAGCCTTGCCTTAAGTGTATACTTTTCCTTGAGATATTAGTTATTGATAATATTAAGCCACTATTATTAGTAGACTTGTCACTAATTTATATCAATGTGACTAATTTTCTAAAAGCATAATATATTAGTATAAAAGTTAATAGTATAAAAATTCATATATATGTTCTATGCATCAGTAAATATACATATAATATAATGGAGGTATGTTTTGTAAAAGTGTGGATACCAATTCAGAATATTTGGATTCAATTTACAAAAGCATAAATGTTGTTATTTCCACACAAACATTTTCAGGCTGCATTGGGACATTAAAGCTTCTTATTTGAGAAAGATTCAATAATGAAGGAGGGGAAAAAAAATCCTGACAGTTTCCAAAGATAAAAAATGGATGTGAGTCCTCAAAGTAATTTCTTACAAAGTCATTAAAGCCATCAGAATAGATAACTGCATCATCTTGAAATTTGGTTCATCTGCAATTCTCCCTCTGGATGCTATGTGTCTATTTTTTCAGTCACACTGTATGGTGGTGAGAGGAAACGAAGGATGGACTGATCAAATTCAAGATCACTTAGGTGTGGAAACATACTGCATTTGGAATACATAGCCATGAGGTTCAGGGATATTATAAGTCTCTAGGGTAGTGGCATAGACTGGGTAAGGGATCAGATTCATAGCTTGCAGTATTCCTTTGGTTTGTACACTACTAGGTTCCAAATGCTTTACAGATACTGTCCTTGAAATAATTGACATGAATAGCATTTCGCCATTCAAAATAACAAAACAAAACAGGTATGGGGTATTGACAAATTTCTAAAGTAAAACAAACACATGACATATACCAGGTTTTAGACTAGATCTCTCCACTTCCAATCCTCATGATTTTCAACAATATCAGAAGTGCCTAAATTATTCTGCCAAGACCCAAGTGTCCTTCAGGCACTGTTAGGATAGTCGGAGGCAGTAAGTTTATTATAATTAACTAGATTGAACTCTCTGGTCATTTTTATAAGCAAAGTTCTCTTTTATATTAGATTCTAATTTTCCATCACAAATGCTGAAATCAAGGATAATATAGTGTATTAGTATATAGTAACTTAATTTTTGTTACTTCTGCAGATGCTACAAAAATCTCCTTGCAGGGACTAAATGAATAGATGAAGATAAATTTGGTAGGCACAGGTTTCTTAACATTTAGAAACAAAATGAGAACTTAGAGACAATGATAAGAAAATGAATGATGCATTAATTTCTAATGAGGTTTTCCCGAGAAACATAAATATCTCAAAAGAAAAAAAAGCCATTTAAGTTGTTTATTTTTATCATAAAATAAGCCAAACCTTACTAAAATTGCATCAATAAGTAAATATACCTTGTACTTGATACAGTATTTAGCTAACATATTCTGATTGCCAGTCATAAATAATGAATATTTTATCTTCTATGTCTATTGATAGAATTTTTAGTTAAATCTTACAATAAAACTAAAAAACAAGTGGCAAGTGTTTGAAAATATTCTAAGTTTCCTCAAGTTAAATAAACATAAAATTCCTCATTTCCTCAAATATTTTCAGGCTGCAAATGAATATTAAAACTGCTTATTTTAGAAATTTTCAAGAACAGTTAGAAAATACTGGCAGTTTTCAAAGACAAGATATGGATTATATCTTTGAAGCATGCTCTTACGAAGTCTTTAAAAGTAACAAAGCAGGTGACTGTACCATCTTCCCATTCAGTTCATTTGCAAATCCTCAATAAAATGTTTTTATATAAATCTTTACGTTCTCTTTAAAAGTAATATCAGAGAAACTGTCTGCTTTTACTAGATTATCTTTTAAAATAGGAGACATAGAAAATCAGTAAATGAGGTTATATTACTAATTAGCATATTGTCTCCACTACCTATACTACACTACAAGAAAATGTGGCTTCCATTTTATCACATAGATGAAACAGTTATCTTTCAGGGTTTGAAATTTCTGTGATCTTTATGCTTAATAAGCTCAGTAAAAGGCATTCAAATTACATCACTTTAGTCTTGGAAGTTAAATTGGGAAATATTGCATTCTCTGAGATGATAAACTCTGCAGAAGATAAATTATCATGAGAAATAGTTTTAATTGATTTACCATAATAAAAGTTATGTGACTTTGAAGTGCAAATGACACATTAAAATGAATCTACAGTATGTTGATAATAAAGTGGCTTCTTTGTTAATGGAATTACTGACATTGCAGATGCTTTCAGGAGTGATGTCTTCTACTGTTAATCAAGAGACTTCAATGTAAAATGAATGTGCTGTTTATTTAAATGCCAACCCACCTTTCTTACTTCCTGTTTCTGAGTAGTTCACTACTAAGGTCAGAGAAATGGAGATTCTGGTCATCATAGAGTCAACAGTATTTCAGCTGCTTCACTTCTGCTTTTTGCTGAACATCTCGACTTAATCCCAACTTCCCCCTGTGTATGTGAATCAGAAAAACTGTCAGAGAAAAGGCATCTGATAAAGTCCACGATGAAGTTCAAGATTAGATTCCTCTATAAATACGCACATTAGTAATTTTTTTCTCACACAGAAACCTTCACAATACATGTTACAAACATTTCTAAATAAGAAGGTTCAAAGGCAATTAGTGAATATTTTACAGTTTTTAAATTTTTTAATGATTTTTTAAAGTTTATTTATTTATTTTGAGAGAAAGAGACAGAGCACATGAGTAGGGGAGGAGCAGAAAGAGAGGGAGGGAGAGAGAATCCCAAGGATGCTCCACACCGTCAGTGCAGAGCCTGAATGAACTCATGAACTGTGAGATCATCACCTGAGCTGAAGTCAAGAGCCAGATGCTTAACAGACTGAGCCACCCAGGTTCCCCTAGAGTTTTTAAATTTTTGTTTTTTACATTTATTTATTTTTGAGAGACAGAGTGAGGCAGAGCGTTAATGGAGGAAGGGCAGAGAAAGAAGGAGACACAGAAACTGAAGGAGGCTCCAGGCTCTGAGCAAGTGTTCATCACAGAGCCCAAGGCAGGACTCACACCCACGAACCATGAGATCCTGACCAGAGCCGAAGTCGGATGCTTAACTGACTGAGCTACCCAGGCACCCCTAGAGCTTTTGAAAAGACAGGAATAAAGTATTTCAAATTTACATGATACTTCAGTAAAATAATTTTTGATTAAGTAACCATGATAGGGGACTTCACCTTCACTTTGACCTTGGTCTGTGCTTTGTAACTGATTAAGTTCTTCTTTCCAGATTATCTTTTAACTGAGGCAAAAGACTCCAAGCGCAAAGCATCCCATGATGGGAACCAAAACTACTACCTCAGGTAATAATGACTGCCCTGATGCCACCAAGATCCTATATGATTGACCCCAAGAAAGTGATCGACCTGACCTTTACTGCTTCCCTCCATGGACCCACTAAACTTTGTCCCTTACAGTCTTTATATGAGCCCAGAAGTATTTTCAGCACTTTGGAGACAGCTTTGTGATATTAGTTCAGTGTCTTCCAGATGTTGACCTCACTGAAACATATTCCTTTCTCATTTCACTATGGCTATCTTTCTGCCTTTGAATTTTGTCAGCAACAAGTGGTGGAATTTGGTTTGTTAGGGACCCTCAGAGCCAGGCACTCTAGCACCCTTGGGCTCAGGTTACATTTCATAATCTATGATTATTCATCTTCAGTTATCTTCTACTAAAATCCACTTTAGCTTAGATGCAGGAATAGTTTGAACACTGTGCTTGTTTGGTTTATTTACCAATCATTGTGTCAATCATACAACTCATCAATTACCAGTATATGATTGTACTTAATCAGGAACAGTACATAAAAGAAAAGTTTAGTACTCTCAACCTCTGTTTAACTGAAAAGAAGATTAAAATCTCCTGCTATTCTCATCTTCCAAGACTTGTGAATTGGCCAGAGAGCTGTGGCAGGAGATGAGACTGGAGCACAGAACTACATTATGGTTGTTTCTGTACAAGACTCCCTGAATGTTACTGGAACAATATGGAATCCACAAGAGTAGACATCAGTTTACTTGCTCCAGGAAATTCCGAAGAGTCACGCAGTGATACAAAGAATATGGTTATCAATAGGAATTATAAATGTGAGAGCTATAAAATCCAACAATGACACATTACACAGGTACCAGTGACAGACATTCATGTGATTGTACATCTTATTAATTAACAAGAACTTTCTTATTTACTA